TAGAAGGGAGAAGAAGAAGTACAAAGTTCACTGTAGGAAGTGCCAGATCCCTGGAGTTCTATGTTGTTTCTGGGTCAGAACCACAGCATGTTTTGAGGTGACAGACAGGTTGGGAATCATGGCAGAGAAATGTCCCAAAACAGCACAGTGGATATTACTATCAATTATTTATTTCAAATAGGAAATAACTGATGTAAGGATATATACAGGTTACAAAAGAATTCTAACAAACTACTTGAGAAAAGCTGTTAAGAATATTGTTTCACTTATAGCAGTTGTAGAAAAAAAAATTGGGAATAAAGTTAACTAAGGAGGTGAAATACCTCGACAATGAAAGCTCTAAAATATTAATGAAAGAAAGAAGACAGAAAAGTAAACATATAGATACCCTATACTCAGCAATGGGAAGAATTCAATTGCTACCATGCTCATGCTGCCCAAAAGCAAACCACAGATTAAATGCAATTCCTGTGAAGACACAAACATCCTAATTTCTTGGAACAGAAAAAAAGTCATAAAATTTGCATAGAACCATAAAAATCCTGAACTTTGAGTACAAAGCTAAAGTCTTCATTCTCAGTTATTCAGAGGACAGAGATAGTATGTATGGATTGCTACTTGAAGCCAGCCTAGGCAAAATTAGTGGGACACACAAAATTAGTCTCAACACAAAAACTGAGTGTGGTGGTCACATCTATAATCACAGCTATTTGAGAGATATAGATAGGAGGATTACAATCTGAGGTTAGTCTGGGCAAAAACACAACATTCTACCTGAAATATAACTAATAAGCACAAGGGATTGGGACTGGAGGTGTGGCTCAAGTGGTAGAACATTTGCTCAGCAGACATGAGGCCCTGGTTTCAAGACTTAGTCCTGCTAAAAGAGAAACAGAGAGACAGAGACAGACAGAGACAGAGATCAGAGTAACAGGATAGGAAACCCAGAAAAAAAACACATGTAGAGCTGAACTATGCATGCACGTGTGTGTGTGTGTGTGTGTGTGTGTGTGTGTGTGTGTGTGTGTGTGTGGCTGGTACTGGGGCTTGATCTCATAATCTTGAGCTTTTGTGCAGTTTTCTTACTCATATCTAGTGCTCTCATACTTTGAGTCACATATTGAGTCAAGTCTAACATTTCTTAGTTAGCTGGTAATGAAGTCACAAAGACTTTTCTTCCCAGGCTGGCTTCAAATTGAGATCCTTCACGTCTCAGCCTCCTGACTAGCTAGGATTATAGGAGTCATCAGTGCCAGACTGTCTTCAGAATTTACCTTACAACTGAACCTTTGAACCCTTTTAACAACATGTCTCCATCTTTCCTACCTCCTACTCCCTGGTTATACAATTCTAGTCTTTATTACTTTGAGTTTAAACCCTTACATTCTACATAATCGGGGTCATGTCCTATACAATATTCTGTGCCTGGCTTATTTCACCTTGCATCTTATTCTTCAGATTTATCTGTTTTTGCAAATGGAAGGATTTCCTTTTTCTTTTATGAATGAATAGCATTCTATTGCATATGTATGTGAACTGTATTTTGTTTAGCCATTGTTCTGTCAATGGATGTTGAGGGTACTTCTATATAAATAATTCTGTATTAAATTTGGCAGTTCAGGTATCTGTTTGGAAAAAATATTTTATTTCTTTTGAATGTATCCTTTCAAGTAGACTTGCTGAACCAAATGATACCTCTATTGTTAGTTCAGTGAGAAACCTCCATACTGTTTTCTACAATGCCTATACCAATTTACCTCCCTACCAACAATGTTTAAGGATAATCTCCCCATATCCTGTCTAACATTTGTTACCTTTTGATATTCTGACAATAAGCTTCCTAGCAGGTGGAGGTGATAGCTCACTGATGATCAGTAATATCCAGCCATTTTCACATTCTTTTTAGCCATTCCTATGTCTTTGAACATCTAATAATCAGGTTATTTGATTTTTTTCTGTTGAGTTTTATGCATACTTTATTGATTGTGAATACAAACACTTTGTCAGATAATCATTTTAAAATACTTCCTCCTATTCTGTAGGTTGTTTTTAATTTCTTTTCCTGCACTTTCAATAAAAGGTTTAAAGTAAATGCATCTCAGTATAGTAAAGGATCTGTCTCTCTTTCTCTCTCTCTCTGCCTATAGTAAACCCACAATAAGTATTATTTTATTTTAAAAGTTGAAAGCTTCTCCTTTAAGATTAAGACAATGATCCCAACTCCTGCCACTTTTACTGAACATTATACGAGACATTCTAACTGGGGCAATTAGGCAAGAAAGGTAAATGAAATGCATTTAAATTGGAAATAATTAAATTTGCCTTTGTCTATAAATGACATGTTCTTTTTTAATTTTTATTTATTTTTTATTGTGAAAAAATGGCATGTTCTTACCTAAGAAAAATCCTAAAGTCTCCCTCACTAGCAAACTGCTAAAAATAATAGACAAATTTGATAAAGTTGTAAGAATTAAAAATCAACCTACAAAAATAAGTTGAGTTAGTAAGGACAACAAAAACTACCAGAATATGTTATTAAGGAAGCAATCCCATTTTATAGTATTATCAAGAAGAATAAATACTTAGGAATTAATTTAAGTAAAGACTTTAAAGATACATATCCTTAAACTGACAAAACATTGGTGAAAGGAATTAATAAGAGGAAAAACAATTAGAATCATAGTCTGTGTTCATGGATTGGAAGTGTTGATGTTGCCAAAATGTCCACACTACCCACAATGATCTGCAGATTCAATAAAATTTCTGTCAAAATTCCAATGAGGTTTTTATTAGGAATAGAAAAATAATCTAAATTTGGTATGAAAGCTCACCAGACTCTACAGAAGAGTTTTGAGAGTCTGATGATTGCCTGGTATGTCTTCACTGGTATCTGTCAAAGTCTCCTCAAAGTATAAATTCAGTGTAGTTACATGACCCATGTAATTATAACCCCTCTGTACAGTATTTTCACAATAAAAAAAAATAAAAAAAGAAGCTAAGCCAGATTTTCTAATGAGGAACAATTAAACTCTTTGAATTCTTAAAAAAAATTCAGTGTAGTTCCTATTAGTTTCTGGTGGGAGTGACATCATCTAGGACTTTAAGCCTAGAACAAGTTTATAAACACTTCCTAATCTGTTATGAATAGAGAAGTATGTGTACTGTGTGTGTGTGTGTGTGTGTGTGTGTGTGTGTGTGTGTGTGTGTAGATGGGGAAAAGTGATATTTTGAAAATATCAGAGAATGGAGCTGAAGGTCACCTCTCATTGTTTTCAGTTAATCTTTCCTACAGTTAGATGGATCTCAGAAACTCCCATATTCCTCTCCCCATTGGGAAAATTCAACTTTATCTCAACCAATAATGCTCAAACACATGGGTAAAAATGTATAGTAAGTGTATGTGTTCTTCAACTATCTTTATAAAGGAATGATCTGAGGATGTTTTGGACATTTTATTTTGATGAAATATGGATAGATTAGCAACCTAAAGTTACTCTGGGAATACTCATCACCAAACCTTTGGGTCTAGAGACAATAGAGCTCCAGATGGGAAAAATAATTTCTATTGTTACAAAGCAAATTCAACAATGTTGGCTTTTATTCCTCTGTTTTTGGAGGACCTACCTCTTCTTTTCCTTTTCCTTTTCTTTTCTTTACATATCAATCTTCTCGTTTAGTCTCTCAACATAATATATATATATATATATATATATATATATGTAACAATATGTCAAAAGCACATTGTGATTCAAAACAATGTACATATGTTCATCTAATCCTTGCAACAACCTTATTTTAATTAGTACAAAATTATAGAATTGAAGTTTCTAGTTTGTGAATACACAAACTAGAATACACAGTAACATTGTGAGGAAATTACTGTTAAATTCATTCTATTTATCTTCCAACTGAGTTGTTAAAGTACCTGTTGTTCCAATGGAAGGCTGAGAAATAAAAACTTATTAGTATTAGCTAACTAGTTGTTTTATTGAAACAAATCTTAACAAAAGCCACCGTATACTCAGGCACATGCATATGGCACACCTGTATAGGTAACTGAAACTAGGCCATTTCTCACACTGAGCTGTGAAGGGAGGAAAGGACTTCTCCCTTTGTTGTACTTGCTATGGTACATAGTTTATGGATTTGCACATGGTAGCAGATGCATGATACAACTCATGGCCTTTTAATAGCTTATTTGCTTTCATACGCAGTCAAACCTTAAATCCAATCTTAGCTTATTGAAAGAAGAAAGGCAAGTAAGGAGAATGTGAAAAGAAGCAAATAGTTTGATACATTCTATTAAACATAGAATTACTTTATATAAATTAACCATTTTAGTCTTTACAATGGCCCATGAAAAGGTATTAAAGGTCCCAGGTTACATAAGAAGTAATTGACATTAAGAATAGTAAACTTAGGTCAGAGTACTTAATTAGATAATGACCTGGAATGGGACTCCAACCTCACTTTTTTCACTCCAACATCTATGTATTCTGTTCTACTATTAACCACTTGGAGCTTTAATTCTCCTCATTCCCATAAGTAAAAATCATGCTTTTATCTAGACATAATTTGTTTTAATATTTTTATGTTGCTGTCACATAGATGACAGAGGGACAGAAGAGTTTAGACACTTCAACATTCCCCCTGCTGCTTTCTGTGTAGGAGGTGTTACTACCAGTCTGGGAATTCCCAAAAAGAGAACGCAGAATTTCTAGTCTTAGCTCCCCAAACTGACATTTTCAATGCATGGACATCAGCATAACCTTAATCTTTGAATGTTTCCATGTTCACATGTCATTCTGGCAGGCAGCTGCTCTATGTTAGTGGACTTAGGTTCACGCTGAAGAAATTTCCAACAAAAGGAATCAAATTTACTAGAGAGTTTATTTCTTCTTTTGTGAAAGTGTCGTAGAGATAAAAAGGACAGTGAAGACTATAGGATAATAGGAAAATTCTATCCAGGGTACTTTTGTGAGTGCCATTTTCCCCCTCTATCACACAGTTTTGGGAACCGAGTACCTGCTCAGAACTTTTTTCAGAGCGATCTTCACTTCTTTATTTCTCAGCGTGTAGACAAGCGGGTTGAGCAGTGGCGTGATCACGGTATAGGTGACTGCTACAAGCAAGTCTTTATCGGAGGAGTGTAGGGACGAGGGCCTCAAGTAGATAGAGGAAGCGCAGCCATAGTGAACGATGACCACGGTGAGGTGGGAGGCGCAGGTGGCGAAGGCCTTCCGCTGTCCCTCCGCGGAGGAGATCTTGAGGATGGTGGAGACAATGAAGACGTAGGAGATGAAGATCAACACGAAGGGAACTAGCAACACCAGAATACTGAGGAAGAAGATGACCATTTCCTTCAGGTTGGTGTCGGTGCATCCCAGCTTTATGACGGGAGAAATGTCACAGAAAAAGTGGTGGATCCGATTGGAGGCGCAGAAAGGCTCGCTGAACACCAGGACGTTGACCACCATCGAGATGAGGAAACCACAAAAGCTGGAGGCCAGAACCAGCTGCACGCAGGTGGCATGGCTGACGACGAGCATGTAGTGAAGGGGGTTGCAGATGGCAACATAGCGGTCATAGCCCATCACAGCAATGAGGAAACAGTTGGTGCAGGCTAAGCCCACGAAGAAATACAACTGGGCAGCACACCCGGCAAAAGAAATACTTGGGACTGTGGACAGAAGGTTGGTTAACATTTTGGGCACAATGACCAAGGTATAGCACGTTTCGGAGCATGAAAGGACAAAGAGGAAGAAATACATGGGGATGTGCAAAGTCTTGTCCAGGCGAATGACAGTCATGATGGCAGCATTGGCCATCAGAGTCGTCAGATAGATGAGTAGGAAGATAAAGAAAAGAAGGATTTGAAGGTCGCCCAGGTTTGAAAAGCCTACCAGGATAAACTCAGTGATCATGCTTTGGTTCTGTCTCTTCATTGGTCAGTGGGGATCAAACTCTGACCACTTGTAGTTAAGAACAAATAATTTGACAGAAATGAAATCAGGAGACATGAGCAGTGACACATGTAATACCTAAAGAAGTTTAACTTTCATGCTCTTTCTGTTTTCTGTATTCATAGATGCATCTAATTCTTCCATTAAGCAAGAAGAAACTTGAGACTCAAAAGGATTAAAGACTGGCTTAACCCACTTGAGGGTGACTGGTGGTCCTTAGAATTCAGTGATCTTCAAAGCCATCTTGTTAATATATGATAAAAGCAAAAAGGAAACAATATAAAAACGAAAAGCGGTATATAATCTCATATATTTGACTTGTGTTGTGTAATTAATGTTCATCTATTTACACAGGACCAGTTGTGAAGCCTTTGGGATGGGTATCTTTTGTCATGAGTGCAAGGGAATCTTGGATTCAGAACGTAACAAAGGCTCCAGTTACTCTGAGAGCATTAGGATGCTTGCTCTGAGGCCTCTGCCCTTCTGCCCTATGTTTCCATTTCCATTACTTCCATAGTTGTTCTCAGAACAACTCTTGCAATTATTGGCAGGAGGATCTATAGCTATAGTTTGACAACACTAAGATTATCAGACTCAGAAAATTAGACAACCATTACATAGAAAATAGATCAGTAATATTCTAACTCAATCTGTCTCCAGTTCTGAGAGCCTTCTTACAGCAACTTAGGAACTATTGTTCAATCTCTGAGGCAAAGGACAAATTATAAGGAGTTCTCAAAATTTAACAAGTCCTGCCTCATGAACCAGGCTGGTTTCTTATACCTTTTTGCTGGAATAATGTACTTGGCAGGAATGTCCTTCCTCTGAGATGAATGTCTCCTCAGAGGCTGCAGCTATGGTCCTTGCTTTGTTCTTAGTAGATGCTCACAAGAAGTTCAATTCTTGGGCTGGGAAGGTGGCTCAGTGGTAGAGCGCTTGCCTTGCATGCCTGAGGCCCTGGGTTCGATTCCTCAGCACCATATAAGAAAAAAGAAAAAAGCCGGAAGTGGCACTGTGGCTCAAGTGGTAGACTGCTAGCCTTGAGCTGAAGAGCTGAGGGACAGCGCCCAGGCCCAGAGTTCAGGGCCCATGACCAGACCCCCCCCCAAAAAAAAAAAAAAAAAAAAGAAGCTCAATTCTTCTTTAGAAATGTCTTCTGGTAGGTCTTATTTTCCTCCTCACATTTATCATTTTACTTTCAATTATTACTCATAATATTGTTCTCAGAAATTTCTGTCTTGAACACCATCTTAATAGTTCCAATCCTGAGCATTAGGCCATGTGTCTGCCCCTCAGCTGCAGACAAACCATCACACAGAATCAATTTGTGTCTCTGCTGCCACACCTCACCCTCCTCATCTTGCCTTTCTTATCTTTTTCCTTCACAAGTAACATTTATCTCTTGAGATTTTCCAGAGTACCACGCTTGACTTTGGTCTGCATTCCCACTTACGTTGCTGTTGTTGGTTCTGGGTCAGTTAGCACAGTAGCATAATGAGGAGAAGGATGTCAAGTTCTTCATTCAAACTCCTTGGATTTTTTCATTTTATGACCTTGTGGAAAATCAAGTCCCACAATTGTGCCTCATGTTTTGATCTCTGAAATGGCAACAATAATAGCATGAATCAGGAGGACTTTGTGAGTCCCAGGCATTCATAAGAAAGCTCCTTACTCAGAGCAAGTGTACAGTAAAAGTTCACTAATGCTTAACTCCTACTTGTTACAAATGAAGAGACAGAGAACCAGAAGAGTACAGGTTGTATAGCTATAGAAGCAGAGGTGAATCTGTATCCTAAACATCCTCAACTCTCTTGTCCAAGACTTGGTCTTTTGAATCAACTGGGTTCTGTTTTTAGTATTTTCTTTGCACTTGTCTAGTATGTCAGCATCTTAGACTAATCAATGTCTGATCAATGTCTGATTTTCACAGAGGCTTTCTGCCACCCCCTTCCACCTCCTCCTATCCCCTAATCTACTTTTAATACATTGTACAATTTTCTTTCTGCCAAGATATATATCTGTCCTGCTGTCTGAAAAATTTCTGAGAAATAGAAAGTATTTTCTTGTAAAGATGCTGTACAGAGAGGTCACAATTACATCAGTAAGGTAACGAGTACATTTCTTGTCGAGCATTGTTACCCTCTTCTTTGTTTTTCTCCTACTATCCCTTCCCTCCCCCTATCCCAATTCCTCCCCCCCTCAAAGTTGTAAAGTTAATTTCCAACATAGTGTCTTGTGAGTATCATTGTTGCAATGGGTCATCCTGTGTCCTTTTTCAGCATTTTGTTGTTCCCCTTCCCCTCTTCAAATTAGATAAATGTATATGCAAGATGCAAGGTACCAAAATCAAATACAGTGACAATAGGAGATATACCATAAGAGGAAGAACATACAAATGAAACAAAAAATCACATAGTACATTGAAAACAATAATAACAAAGAAAAATCTCTTGTGTCCATATCTTGGGGTTCATTTCTGCTTTTTTAAAAGTGTCTGTTTCAGGATTATTTTACCATTTTTTCATTTCTTAAATCCTTGTTGACTTACTCTTTCATTTTCACATTGGAGTTTTTGTTCTTTGCTCTGTGTGGTGTCTGTCTCTACCTTTGGCCACAGATCCTGATGCCATAATCCACCTGACTATGCATGATTTCTACCAGACCCTGCCTCTGGTACTCAAAATATTTTTAGAGAGGACTGACAGATAATATTGCTAATAAGAGAGAGTTATCTACAACTTCAGTACAAAAGAGACACTTACATTCACAGACAAGTTCTTTTCTTCTGTGTCTCATCAATGCCTTGAAAGAAGAGAGAAATAGGCAAAGTTTTGAGGAATATCAATAGCATTTTTTTCTTATCTAATCTTATTGGGGAAAATTGAAGAACTATGAGATTCTGAAGATGAAAGATAGCTCTGTCTAGTGGCTGAACTGGAACTAACTGGACATCCCTGATCTTAGTAGATTTGTATCCCTGATGGCACATGCTCTAGCAAATTCTCTCTGCCTTATAATAGTTGGGATTCCCCAGGGACTGAAGCATTAGAAAAAAGGAACTTCTTTGTATTCTAGGCCTTAAAACCATGCATGCATGTATATTTAGTCCCAAAGAAAGTAAGGACACCCCCTCACATTATATTATTCGATCAGTATAGAAACTTTGAATATTGCAAATATTTTCGCATGGGCAGTTTGAATAAAGGTTACATTTGTTATAATTGAATTATCACTCTCTTAATCATTAGCTTTACAGATTCTAGTATTAAACAAATGATGTCTTTTTTTGGACAGATTTCATAGTTTATTTGGATTAACCAGATTTTACACACATATACACATGTGCACACATGCGCACACACATTGCATTCTGAGTGGGGCACAAAGTATGATTTTTTTGTATTCCTTTACCTGCTAGACTGATCTCTTCAAATATGTTCATTAGTGCAGACTTTCATCCATGCATCCATCAATTAATTAATGCATTAGGAATCTCTAGTGTTCCTGAAATGTTATAGGCACTCATGAAAATCTTAGTGGGAAAGGTGTTTTGAAGATGAGAATGGTATAGTCGGTGTCAATGATAGTTTGTGGACCACATGAACCCAACCTTCCTGAGTCACGTGTAAAAAAAACATACTGCTGGGTTTTAACAAGGATCCTTTCAGTGAAAATAAACATTAGGGGTAAGGCCTGAAGTATTGCACAGTCAGGTCATGTCTTCTTTGTTTCTTTTTGTTTTTGTGGGTCATAGGTCTTGAACTTGGGCCCTGAGAACTTTCACTCAAAGCTAGTATTGTACCACTTTGAGCCACAGCCCCACTTGTGAGTTTCTCATGGTTATTGGAGACAAGACGCTCATGGACTTTCCTGCTGGCTTTGAGCTGCAATCCTCAGATCTTTCAGCCTCTTGAGTAGCTAGCATTACAGGCATGAGCCACCAGTACCAGGCTCATGTTTTCTCTTATTCTTAGTAAATTTAGAACCATTTGGCTTCTTTCTAAAATGTTATGTAGAGGTGTATAGAGACAGGAGAAGTAGATGGAGAATTAAAAATACTGAAGTGGGCTAACATGGGGTATATGCAGAGCATGGAAGCTTTACTAAGGGGCGCAGGGTTCTCCTATCCGGTATCGCTGTCTCGCATAGAAAACTTACTCTTTAAACTATTTTTTTATATTAGACATAGGAAAAAAAGCATAGAGTTATTTTAGCTTTTATATCTGAAAAAAATAAATTTTTTTCTAACAGATGAGATATATACTAAAACAAATTCTCATGGGATATTATGATTTCATGCTTTTGATACTAATACAGTTTCTGAAAAGGATGAGTAAAATGTTAGGTAAATTAATGGGTCAATTGAGAGAATAGAGGGCTAAAATGACAACCCTTCCTTTTCATTTGTTTCCTATTTCAACTCTTAATATTAATATCAGATGTTTTTGAACAACATCCAGACCAGACAGACATCATAATCCATTTATTATCCTAGGGAATCCCCTTCATGAAAATTCTATTATGTCAGAAAACTTGTTATTGTTTTGTTGTTTTTCATTTTACTCAAGATACTAAAGGAGAGGACACTAGTTTTGTTAGGTTGAGGAGAATAAAATTAAAGGGTGAGTGCAGGGTGCAAGGGGCTCATGCCTGCAATCCTAGCTACTCAGGAGACTGAGATGTGAGTATCAAGGTTCAAAGTCAGCCCAGGCAGAAAAGACCCCATGAGACTCTTCTATCCAATTAACCACTCAAAAACTGGAAGTGGTGCTGTGGTTCAAATGGTAGAACATTAGCCTTGAGCACAAAGAGTCTCAGGAACAGTGCCCAGGCCCCTAGTTCAAGCCCCACAACTGACAAAAAAATTAAAGGGTGAGGAGCTGGAGACAAGTGTAATTTATTGAGCAAGACTGACTAGGGGAAGGGGCCCAGAAACATTCACTTCTTTGAATGATGAGCTGAATGCTAAAGTATTTAAAAAG